TCCCCGCCCGGGGGCGATGGGTTTTTGGGGGCCAATGTGTGTGCTGGGTTCGCTTGCTGATTTTTTGTTTTTCCAAGATGCTCTTTGACCAACGCCTCTCTCCGGCTGTGTCCCACGGCGCCCAGCCCCGCGGAGGCTGCCCGCGCCGTCTTTTCTACTGAACGCTGTGTGGAGTTGCCATTTGTGTTTTTTTTTTTTTTTTAATTATTATTTTTGCTAACTTATTTGGAATTTGGTTGTTGTTTTTTTAAATAAAGGCATTCTTGTTTGAATGGCTCGAGGCTTCCTTTACCGCTGTCCTCCTCTGCACAGGTCTCCCCTAATTCCCAGGTTGTGGAGCTTTCCATGTTAGAAAATCCAGCTGGACCTCAGCGTGGTAACTCAACTGGACCTCAGCGTGGCCACTCAACTGGATGTCCCAGGCTTCAATCAGCCCTGCAAAGCCCAGCGTTTTCAACCAGGGCTCAGTCCTGTACCCCAAAAACTCTCAAGGGAGCTAAAGATTAATTATATTTTTAAATTTGGGCTCTAGAAAGAAGGCTCAAGCCAGTGCTGTTTTAAAATCCTGTTTATTGGAACACACATACATCCTTTCCTGACCCGATCCAGGGTTTGGAGTCCATGCAGTACCAATAATATGACGAAAGAAATAGGGCATCGATATAAAGGGCTCACCGACTCTTCAAATTAAAAAAATATTTAATACTGTATTAGGCAAATAATACACCGAAAAGACATGGTGACTGTAGAGCCTCTCAGATATTGCACTTCCAGACAGCACATGATAAGTATAAGGTCATTCCAGCCATCAATAAATATCACATCAGAAATAGGGGCCACACAAGGCAAACGTGGCATGAGGAGATGAAGAGATCCTACCCTACAGGGAAGAAATGGGAAGAGTTAAGAACCTCCTGGATTGACCCTGCCCATAGCTTGGAGGCAGGAGGGGAGAGCATCTCCTCTGCACCTGGAGGGGAAGGGATGGGCACGTCCCGGGGCGGTGGGTGCCCCAGTCATGTCTCCCTGGGCGCCCAAGGAGGGTCCTCTGTCTCGTGGGTGCCGGGTACCGTCCCGGCCGGCAGCGA